TATTCTCTCTTGCCACCGCTATGTAAGAAGTGCCTTTCACCTGGTAGTATGCAGTACGCAATAGCACAGCCGACCCTGCTCAGAGTACCGTTTGCCCACCCTGCTTTGTCCTATGGATCCTCATTCATCTCACAAGCCTGGCTCAAGCCACATGCTACCAGGGTACAGAGCTGTGAGATTGCATGCCCACGTCACATGGATCAAAGTCATTAGAAATAACGTTAGTACAAGATATAAACTAGGAGCAGTAAGGATGGAGGCAAGAGAGGCACAGGGGTTTTGGATTTTTGACTTTAAGTTGTAAGTAGTAGGAAGCAACAGAAAGGTTTTATGGGGTGTGTGTATGTGTGTGTGTGTTTGTGTGTGTGTGTGTGTGTTTGTGCATGCGTAATGGGGACAGGGGTTCATTTTCCTTGACTGCTGGGTATGTTACTACCATAATGTGCTGGGAAATGTTTAATAACTGGCTCTCCAGAGGGAAGAAAAAAACGCTCTGATTTGTCAGATATGCCAATTCCTGTGTTGTAAATATGCGCAACATATCCCGTTTCTAGCCATCCCCATGATACAACTGAATGTGGAGCTGGGACTAGGTGCATACAGTTGGCTCTTGGAAGATGGCACCAGTGCTTCTGTACAGTAAGCCCTCACCTAACATACTCAATGGGTTACTGAAAACTGCAGCTTTGAGTGAAATGATGTTTATTGACACCAGTTTTACCCTGGCATACTTCTGGTCACAAAAACATCACTAAACTTCAAAATAAAAACCCAGAATGCTTCTAATATCACACATGAAAATACATGTGAGCTATACATACATTGAAGAAAGGTTGATAAGGTCAAATAAGAAAACAGTTTATCCATTCTTTTGAGAATCAGTGAGTAATGGCAGTGGGTTAAATCAAGGAGTAAATGTTTACAAAGTGAAAATTGTAAGGAGCACCTCCTGCCACCATGCAGTCCAAAAACAATCACAGATATTGCAGGCTCACTGAGCACTTTTGTACCGCATGGTTTACTGTGCATTTGCATAATTATTATTTATTTACTTTACAAATTTGTATTTTAGATTATTTTGTATTCATTTTTCCAGTCATTTTTCTTTCTTGTTTCCCCCCCCCTTTTTTTTTTTTGTTTTTAGTCAGGGCCTTGCTCTGTCAACCAGGCTGGGGTACCGTAGTGAGATCTCTGCTCACTTCAAACTCTGCCTCCTGGGTTCAAGTGATTCTTGTGCCTCAGCTTCCCATGTAGCTGGGATTACAGGCGTGTGCCACCATCCCTGGCTAATTTTTGTACTTTTATTAGAGATTGGGTTTCACCATATTGGCCAGGCTGGTCCTGAACACCTGGCCTCATGTGATCTGCCTGCCTTGGCCTCCCAAACTGCTGGGATTATAGACATAAGACACCGCACCTGGCTTCCAGTCACTTTTCAACCCACTTATATCAGTTCAGGGTCATGGTGGCTGGAGCCTATGTGGGAAGCTCAGGAAACAAGGTGGAACCAGCCCTGGCCAGGATGCCCTTCCATTGTAGGGAGGACTCACACACACCCACACTCATTCACACTTGGACTATTTAGGCATGCCATTTAACTGAATGGGCACATCTTTGGGAAGTGGGGAGAAACTGGAGTATCCATAGAAGTCCCACACAGACATACGGAGAACGTGCTAAGTACACACAGACAGTGGCCCTGGCCAGGATGCAATTCTTTTCCTAATCAATGTTATAATGACCCAACATTGAGCAAAATGATGTTATTTGAGGACCTGTTGTCTATGTCATGTGAATTAATTCTCAAAACAACCCTATAAGGTGAATAGCAGATCCACTTCTCTAGTGATGCTAGAGAGATAATAAGTATTTTATTCAAGATTATGCAACCAGGCAGTAGTTGAACTATGTTTTAAATCCATGCTTACCTGTTTTCAAAGCCAACTTTTTTTTTTTTTTTTTTCTAAGAAAATATGCTGCCTCCAGAAGAGTAATATTGTCAGATTGCTACTTCAGAAAAATTTCTAGGCAGGCATATAGAGCAGGGATTGGTGTTATAGTGAAAGACCTCTAGAGCATCATGAATGGGTGTGTATGTGTTCCAGTATAACTTTCCAGAAGCAGGGGACAGGGCTGGAGGTGGGGAGATCACGTTGAAGGCTGTCGAAGAGGCTGGGTGAGAAGTGATGAGGCTGAGCCCAGGCATGTCACGGTATCTTGAAGCATAAACATATTTGATGAAATTGCAGGACAGAATGTTGGCCTTCCATCTCATTGCATGGGAATGGGTAGGAGGAAGGGGCAGAGTTATAAATGGGAAATCCAGGATAATTTCCAGGTTTCCAGTTTTTCACTGTGAACTTTGTTCACATTTTGGTCAGGACAGAATTGTGAGAAGCAGGTTTCTTTGGAGAAAGCTTGTTTTCAGTGTGGGCATGTTACGTTTAAAGGCTTTGCAGGATATCCAAATGGGAATGTGGAGTGGAAAAGCAGAAATAAATGAGCTCAGGGCTCAGATATGAGCTGGAGCAGTCAGTAGTTTCGGCCAAAACCTTGGCTGTGGATGGGCTTACCAAGAATATGGGGAGGTCTGAGAATAGGCCAGGGGAATAAAGGAGCTAGGGAGTGACAGGGATGGTCTCAAGGAGAACTTTGTAGAGATAAGAGTGATTCCAACACCAGAGAGTGGTGGCCAGTTTTAGAAGTTGTCGTGGATGCTGTGACGGGCTGCTCGGATCCCACTTCAAGAAGGGACTCTTCCAGCTGTTTTGAGTGCTGTCCAAAGATGGGCCCAGCTGTCAGCTTTCCTTGGGTTTGCCTCAACTGAAGAAAACTGCCAAATCCTAGCTAGATCTGTCTTCTTTGCAGAGGTAACCTGTATCTACTAATCAATGGTGGTATAAAGGCTCAGCTCCCTTGTCCCAACTGGGGACAGCTCTGCAGGGCCATTGCTGCTCCCATTGTGGGGTGGCTGAAGCCTAAGCTAGAAGTGCAGCTGCTCCCTCTGCCCAGTCCTGTTTCCCTCCCTTTTTAAGGCGTTGAAACCCAGGTGTACTCCTCAGTACATGTCCTGCTTGAGAATCTCCCTCCCTCTCAGCATCTGCGTCTTGGGGAGCCCAGCATCCAAGTGATGCTCTCGTTCCTTTTGTTCTTTGTCCTCTTGCTGTTTTGAACATTGCTACTGAACTAGTGAATGTTGCTGTTCAAGGGTGAGCGGGTTCAGACCCACCTATTCATTTATCAGATCCTAAAGCCAGCTTGTCCAACCCACAGCCCAGATGGCTTTGAATGGTGCCCAACACAAATTTGTAAACTTTATTAAAACATTATGAGTTGTGTTTTTACAATTTTTTTCTTTAGCTCATCAGCTATCATTGGTGTTCATGTATTTTATGTGTGGCCCAAGACAATTCTTCTTCCAAAGCGGCCCTGGGAAGCCAAAAGATTGGACACCCCTGCCTGAAAGCAATCCAAGACTCTGATGTCTTAATGACTGAATAAAGCTTTATTTTAATGTAAAATATGACAAAAATTTATATACTCATATATAACAATTTCCCAAATGTTTTCTGTGGTACAAATGAGATCATCTGAAAAAGTCTGTAAAGAATTCATCCTCCACCCCCATATGCCAAAATATGATTTCACATAATTTATCTTCAGAACTTATAAACAGACTTGGTATCACAAAAGCACAGGAAACACCAGAAAAAGTGACGGTACGAACAACAGGTTTTGTTTTAGGTTCCAGTAGTAAGCAGCCCTGCAGATGGAACAGGAGAACACTTTCTGAAGGAGCTGAGTCAGGAGTCAGGCCAGAAGGGTCTTTGGGGTTGGTTCATTTCCTTTAGCCAAGCTTGTCTTTAAAAGTTAGGCTGTGTGTGATTCTATGACTATTTAAGGACATGAGGGAGAAAGAGTTTCACTTAGAAGTCACAGCTGCATGTGAGATTTTAGGCTTATTTTAGATATCTAACATTTTCTTCCCTCCTTTTTATCAGAAAGGTGACTTTGTAGGGATACCTTATGGAGACTCTTCTTTCTGTTCTTGCTGTAGCATAGTTTCCAGCTAAGTTGGCAGGAACTGGGAGTGCAGAGAAATACCTCTGGCTGTTTCTGAGTCCGAATCCCTCCTACCTAATTGCACAAAGACCAGTCTTTCTGCCGCTCATGGACTCAGAAAGCAGTAGGGTATCCGCCCAGTTTAACACCAATTTGAAGGCCATTCATTGTAGGTTTCAGAGTTTAATGCCAATGGGAATTGTACAGATATGCATTCAGACCAAACTTTTTAAGAAAATCTTTTAAGAAAATCTTCCTGTTTCTGAGCTTGTCTTTCATCCTCTGATTTGATATTGTGAGGAAATGATATTATACCAAGAGTGAGAGTGCCACACCCGATGGCATCATGGATTCTTGGGAGGCTGTTTGTCTCCCTTGTGGAAGACTAAATTCTCCTGCATCTAAAAGTTTTCAGTGGTCTGTCCTCTTTCACCTCTCTATTCTTGCAAAAAGAAGAAAAATAGGGCTTCTTAAAATATCTAGTGACTCGAGGGCAAACCTCATTTCGAGGCCTTCATGACCCAGCAGTCAGATGTGCAGCCAGGTGTATGTATGTTGATTGGGTTTGGAGCTCGATGTGCCACTCTGTTCCAGGGTGTGTAGTAGTGTTCTGAGCTACAGGGAGACACCAGATTGAGTTTTCCCAAGGCCATAAATAAATTGGGAGCTATGTCCTGCTCCCAGGCACCTTACTGATTATAGCTTGGTCTTCTAAATACTCTAAAATCCTGTTCGCCTAAATACTGGGAAAGAGTCCTGAAACCTCTGGGTGGTAACAATTGAAGGGTCAGTACCCAGGCATTTATAAATCTTACATTTGAGCTGTTAATTGTTGCTTGGCTTGATGGATCCTCTGTCACAAATATAATGTTAGCTTCTTTCAGGCAGGATCAAATGGAGCGTGTGTTATACTTCAAGCAAGGAAAGAAAACTGTTGCAATCTAGTTTTTGTTCACTTTAATAGTACCTTCACATCACTGGCTGCCACTCAGGATTAGTAACTATTTTATTGACTTTGTATACAATACAAAACCCAGCTTTGGAGCAGTTTACCCTAAGCCTGTGTGCAGCAGGTACTGCACCCTATGGTGGCAACACCGCAGGTGAAAACATGGGCACTCTTCCCAAAAAGGCCACTCCTCCAAGACACAGGAGTCTCACCTTACACCATCACCCCTGGCTGCCCCTCAAGTGGCCTAGGCTTAGTCAAGAAGGAACGTTCTGGCTTGGTTATGTTTAGTAATCTAGAGTACTTTGACTAAAATATGGAACATACTGAAGAGCTGCTGGTTTTTAACGCTTCAGTACAGGTTACACGTCCCTCATGTTACCATTTTCTTCTTTAAGGTTCATTTAGCTTGAGGGGCAGGTAGCATTCAGCAGGTCAGAGGGAAACGCCGCAGCTCCCCTGCACTCCACCTTCAGGTGAGCAGGGCCTGAGATCCTCAACCACTTTGAACAAGCTGCAAACAATCTAAAGGTGCCTGGCTGAAGAGGGATGACAGAACAGAGACAGAAAACTTGATAGTCTGTATTCAAGAGGGCCATAGTAAACTGCAGTTTATAAAATAATATCTCAAAGTCCAGGAAGTAACACTATTTACATCTAAAACAAGCAGTTGCATCATTCTTGGTAACAGAACTCTATTTTAAGTTAAAAAGATAAGAGTAAACTAGGGTAGAGCGATGTCCTATGTATTCAATAAGACTATAATTTATTAAATCGTGTGAGTCAGAGGCATGCTAATCTCAGCCAAAATAGATCTAAATTAAACTCAAGACTTTTTTTTGGAAGGAATAAAGAAGGCATGTGAAAAGGCTTTAAGTATTTTGAATCACTGCCCAGTTCAAACCAATGCTCAGGTTTCGCTGTCTTTCACAGTCTTTTGCTTGTGTTCTCATTTGGGTTAGGTTGTATGTTTTAGAGGTTTTAGTTTTCATAGAAAATTATGGCAAAGCCCAAAAAATATGGTGATGGGTTGGTTCTACTTAGAGGGTGGGGTTTCAGCTTTTTAAAGCCATAACACTGTCCTTTTCCAATTGGAGGACTTGGCCTTGCCCTGACTTTTGTTAATAAAATATAGCAAATGCAGGTAGATTTAGTCTTAATGCCTTTTCTCCATTTCCCTCCATTTCCCCACTATGCATCAAACTCTTCAGAAAGCATTATTAATCTTTCATTATCCATACTAGCAATCACATGTGTTCAAACCACCCCCCCCCCCACACCCTCATTCACTTCCATATAATGCCTGCTGGTCATCAGTTTCCAGAGGCCACGGTCAGCTCCTCACTTTCCCCGAATGCAGATGGTTACTGCTTGGCACTGAGTCTGGACTTGGCATTTTCAGGGCACTGCCTCCTGTGTGACCTACCCAGTAGATCCTCTTTTTCCCAACTATATGCAGCCTTCAAGTGGGAACCTTAAAGTAGAGACCCCAGTTAAAGTAAATTATAGGCAGGAGATTTGGGGCTGACTCTGAAACCAGGTATCTCCATACCTGGAATGCGGGAGGGAAGAAGGTGAGGACCATGTGATGTCCAGCCTTAGCCTGATCATACTGGTCCTTGGAATATATTCCTTCTGGAAGCTCTGACGAGCAGTGCACATTCTTCCAGGACTAATACTGCATTTTACCATTTTTCATATCAAAAGTGAGGAAACGTGAAATGTTTACATCAAATGAGTGGTATCAGGAATCTGAGAAATTCTGCAAATAAATAAATGTGGTCTTTCTCTTGGTATAAAACATTTCAAGATCACTAGTCATGTTTGCTGTTGTTTTCTGAGTAAAAAAACCTATACTCACTCAAGATGCCTCTCTCTCTGTCTACTCTGCCACTCCTTAGACTTAACAGCTCTAATAAGGGGGCTGAGGCTCCGTCTCTGAGCGGGTAATGCTGTCTGGCAGAGACTGCCTTTGGACCACCAATCCCATAGAGGGGGTGTCCACGTGTCTGCACATCAGCACACGTTATCTAGCCGGGGAGGCACCCCGGAGTAGAGCTCCATTGTTAGCTGTTTGTTTGTTCAGTTGCCACTCTGATTGATTTGAACAATTCTGAAAGTGTTTCAGATAACAAGTAGTTTTGTTTTTGTGGCCCCACATTTTGCCTTCCTTCTGATTTTTTCCTCCCCAATCCACTTCCCCTTCTTTTTCCCTCTGATTAGCAGTCAATCGTTACAACCTCATTGAGAAACAGCTAATCAATACCATGGAGAATTCCTAACACGAAGGAGGTCTTCAGGTCTAGAAGGGGCAAAGGTAGTGTAGACACCTTCCTTTCTGGGCTCGACTGGCCTTGGTGGCATTCAGCTATACGGCTGCAGTCATGGGGTTCTTCTGCCGGGAATCCTGGGTTCGGTAAGGGTACCGGTCTGGGCTGCCCCCACGGGGCCCTGGTCTGCCTGTTTCCTGATAGGCTGGCATTCTTTGGTGCTGAGGAGGGGAAGGTGGAACATCTTGTCGAAAGGGTCCCTTGTGCTGGGGGGCTGTTGGGGGTGGGTAGTGCTGAGGATACTGGAGGTCTGCCACCCTCAGCTCTGCGGGGCGGGGATAGCTCCCTTTGGGAGGGTGCATAGGATGAGACCCTGGGTAATAGGGAAGCTCTCTTTCCTTGTAGATCCCCCGAGGTGCTGCTGGTAGATAGTCTACAGGATCTGTGGGTCCTCCCCTGCAAAGAGAAGAAGAGACACATGTCAGTAGCAACTAAGCAGGCTGTCCAGCTGGAGAACATGTTCTTCAGCCTCCTGTGCAGTTTGGTGTAGCCACTGACTAGATCTGGCCAATGGGATGGGAGCAGAAGTGATGCGTGCCCTTAAAAAGAAGAGAAGGGAACTTCTTCCCTTCTCTCTTTCCTGTTGGCCATTGAAAAAACCATCTTAGGCCACAAGGTGAAAACCACATGCTATGGGAGGCAGAGCACTAAGAGGGCGAGAGCCTGGGTCCCTGTTGCCATGGAGCCACCATGTCAATCAGGACTGCTTCTGTTCAGGTAAATGCATGAGAGGAAAACACACTTCTATCTTGTTTATACCCTTTTCAGTGGGCCTTTATTATAGTAACCAAAAATTTCCTAAACAAGGCAGTCAGTTTGCCTCTCTTAGGGCTGCGGTCATTAGTTCCCTCCTGTTTTCTACCACCATACCTAGGACAGGCTGGGCTGAAGTCTGTTCTGGATATGGCAATATAAACGTTCACGTTATTTGGAGTCATAAAGTTTCCATGGACTGCACTGGCTTTTCTAAGTCTGTGAGGTGCTCTTTTAATGGGCCGTCATCTTGGTCTAATTCTGGTTGGCTGCTGTTACACCCTGCTGTGGTTTCTTATGTCCCTCTCCTCCCCAAACTCTCTGCAGTCCTTAGAAAAAGTCCCAAGCCCAAGCCCAAGAGCTTTTTTGTTTTGTTTTGTTTTGTTTTTGAGAGGGAGTCTGACTCTATCACCCAGGCTGGAGTGCAGTGGTGCCATCTCAGCTCACTGCAACCCCTGCCTCTTGGGTTCAGGCAATTCACCCACTTCAGACTCCCAAGTAGCTGGGACTACAGGCACCCACCATCATGCCCAGTTAATTATTTTTTATTATTATACTTTAAGTTCTAGGGTATATATGCAGAATGTGCAGGTTTGTTACATAGCTATACACATACCATGGTGGTTTGCTACATCCATCACCATGTCATCTACATTAGTTATTTTTCCTAATGCTATCCCTCCCAACCCCAACAGGCCCCAGTGTGTGATGTTCCCCTCCCTGTCTCCTTGTGTTCTCATTGTTCAACACCCACTTATGAGTGAGAACATGCGGTGTTTGATTTTCTGTTCTTGCGTCAGTTTGCTGAGAATGATGGTTTCCACCTTCATCCAGGTCCCCGCAAAGGATATGAACTCATATTTTTTATGGCTGCGGAGTATTCCATGGTGTATATGTGCTACATTTTCTTTATCCAGTCTATCACTGATGGGCATTTGGGTTGGTTTCAAGTCTTTGCTATTGTAAACAGTGCCACAATAAACATACGTGTGCATGTGTCTTTATAATAGAATAATTTATAATCCTTTAGGTATATACCCAGTAATGGAATTGCTGGGTCAAATGGTATTTCTGTTTCTAGATCCTTGAAGAATCACCACAGTGTCTTCCACATGGTTGAACTAATTTACACTCCCACCAACAGTGTAAAAGCATTCCTGTTTCTCCACATCCTCTCCAGCATCGGTTTTCTCCTGATTTTTTAATAATCATCATTCTAACTGGCATGAGATGGTATCTCAATGTGGTTTTGATTTGCATTTCTCTGATGATCAGTGATGATGAGCTTTTTTTCATATGTTTCTTGGCTGCATAAATGTCTTCTTTGGAGAAGTGTCTGTTCATATCCTTTGCCCACTTTTTCATGGGGTTGTTTATTTCTTGTAAATTTGAGTTATTTGTAAATTCTGGATATTAGTCCTTTGTTAGATGGGTAGATGGCAAAAATTTTTTCCCATTCTGTTCATTGTCAGTTCACTCTAATGATAGTTTCTTTTGCTGTGCAGAAGCCTTTTACCTTAATTAGATCCCATTTGTCTATTTTGGCTTTTGTTACCATTGCTTTTGGTGTATAGTCATGAAGTCCTTACCCTTGCCTATGTCCTAAATGGTATTGCCAAGGTTTTCTTCTAGGGTTTTTATGGTGTTAGGTCTTATGTTTAAATCTTTAATCCATTTTGAGTTAATTTTTGTATAAAGTATAAGGAAGAGATCCAGTTTCAGCTTTTTGCATATGGCTAGCCAGTTTCCCCAGTACCATTTATTAAATAGGGAATCCTTTCCCCGTTGCTTGTTTGTGTCAGGTTTGTAAAAAATCAGATGGTTGTAGATGTGTGACATTATTTCTGAGGTCTCTGTTCTGTTCCATTGGTCTATATCTCTGTTTTGGTACCAGTACCATGCTGTTTTGGTTTCTATAGCCTTGTAGTATAGTTTGAAGTCTGGTAGTGTGATGCCTCCAGCTTTGTTCTTTTTGCTTAGGATTGTGTTGGCTATGCGGGCTCTTTTTGGTTCCATATGAAATTTAAAGTAGTTTTTTCCAATTCTGTGAAGAAAGTCAATGGTAGCTTGATGGGAATAGCATTGAATCTATAAATTACTTTGGGCAGTATGGCCATTTTCATGGTATTGATTCTTCCTAACCATGAGCATGGACTGTTTTTCCATTTGTTTGTGTCCTCTCTTATTTCCTTGAGCAGTGCTTTGCAGTTCTCCTTGAAGAGGTCTTTCATATCCCTTGTAACTTGTATTTCTAGGTATTTTATTCTCTTTGTAGCAATTGTGAGTGAGAGTTCACTCATGATTTGGCCCTCTGTTTGTTATTGGTGTATAGGAATGCTTGTGATTTTTGCACATTTACTTTGTATCCTGAGATATTGCTGAAGTTACTTATCATCTTAAGGAGATTTTGGGCTGAGAGGATGAGGTTTTCTAAATATGCAATCATGTCATCTGCAAACAGAGACAATTTGACTTCATTTTTTCCTAATTAAATACAATTCCTTTTTTTTTACATAAAACTTTATTGATGTTCTGTTTTATTGATTTATTTATTTTTAATTGCATTTTAGGTTTTGCGGTACATGTGAAGAACATGCAAGATTGTTGCATAGGTACACACATGGCAATGTGATGTGCTGCCTTCCTCCCTATCACCTATATCTGCCATTTCTCCCAATGCTATCTCTCCCCAACTCCCCACCTCCTGCTGTCCCTCTCCTATTTCCCCCCTACAGACCCCAGTGTGTGATGCTCCCCTCCCTGTGTCCATGCGTTCTCATTGTTCAACACCCGCCTATGAGTGAGAACATGTGGTGCTTGATTTTCTGTTCTTGTGTCAGTTTGCTGAGAATGATGGTTTTCAGGTTCATCCATGTCCCAACAAAGGACATGAACTCACCGTTTTTGATGGCTGCATAGTATTCCATGGTGTATATGTGCCACATTTTCCCTGTCCAGTCTATCATTGATGGGCATTTGGGTTGGTTCCAGGTCTTTGCTATTGTAAACA